GTAGCGCGCCCCTCAGGCAGGGGAGCGCCGGCAAAGGTCAGTAGCGCCCCTCAGGCAGGGGAGCGCCGGTAATGGTCAGTAGCGCGCCCCTCAGGCAGGGGAGCGCCGGCAAAGGTCAGTAGCGCGCCCCTCAGGCAGGGGAGCGCCGGTAAAGGTCAGTTGCGCGCCCCTCAAGCAGGGGAGCGCCGGCAAAGGTCCCGGCGTGGCTCGGCCGGGTAGGGGAACGCAGGCCCACCCTACACCACTGCGTTCCAGCCCAGGGCCCTGACGGTGGCAGGACGAGGGTCCCGCCACTGGATCAGCGGGGTCCCTCCGTGATACAGACTCACCACTGTGCAGCTTTGTCCCTGGGCTACTTCCTACCCGATCGCTCGTCCGGATCCTTCTGATCCCGTCAGTGCGTCGGGGTAGTCCGCTCTTGGCAGCTCCAGCTCCCCCTCAGGCTCAGGCTCAGGCTCCTCCAGCTCCCCCCAGTCCTTGGCTGCTGGCAGCTCCAGCTCCCACTCCGGCTCCTCCAGTTCCCCTGGGTACTCGGCAGCGGGCAGTCCTGGCAGCCCCAGTCCGTCCTCCCGGTGCGGTTTCCACTGGTCCAGGGCCTCCCCTGGCGCGGCAGCAGGATCTGAAGGGAGCAGCCCGCGGTCTGCGTCTGCCTCCCTCCTTGGTGCTGCCCTGACTGAGCTAAGGGCCCCGCCCTTTATACTTCCTGTTCCACCCCTCCCCTTCCGGGGGGTGGAGCTAGCTTGGGCTGGCCCTGCTCACTCCGGCTGAGAGAAAGGCCCTTTTACCTCCGGTTCGGAGGGCAGCCACCCTGGCTCCCTACAGTTCCCAATCCTGCTGGAAAGGCATAACGAGTGGGGTTCCGCAGGGGTCTGTTTTGGGACCGGCTCTGTTCAATATCTTCATTAACGACTTAGATATTGGTATAGAAAGTACGATTATTAAGTTTGCGGATGATACCAAACTGGGAGGGATTGCAACTGCTTTGGAGGACAGGGTCATAATTCAAAATGATCTGGACAAATTGGAGAAATGGTCTGAGTTAAACAGGATGAAGTTTAACAAAGATAAATGCAAAGTGCTCCACTTAGGAAGAAAAAATCAGTTTCACACATACAGAATGGGAAGAGACTGTCTAGGAAGGAGTACGGCAGAAAGGGATCTAGGGGTTATAGTGGACCACAAGCTAAATATGAGTCAACAGTGTGATGCTGTTGCAAAAAAAGCAAACGTGATTCTGGGATGTATTAACAGGTGTGTTGTGAGCAAGACACGAGAAGTCATTCTTCCGCTCTACTCTGCTCTGGTTAGGCCTCAGCTGGAGTATTGTGTCCAGTTCTGGGCACCGCATTTCAAGAAAGATGTGGAGAAATTGGAAAGGGTCCAGAGAAGAGCAACAAGAATGATTAAAGGTCTTGAGAACATGACCTATGAAGCAAGGCTGAAAGAATTGGGTTTGTTTAGTTTGGAAAAGAGAAGACTGAGAGGGGACATGATAGCAGTTTTCAGGTATCTAAAAGGGTGTCATAAGGAGGAGGGAGAAAACTTGTTCACCTTAGCCTCTGAGGATAGAACAAGAAGCAATGGGCTTAAACTGCAGCAAGGGAGGTCTAGGTTGGACATTAGGAAAAAGTTCCTAACTGTCAGGGTGGTTAAACACTGGAATAAATTGCCTAGGGAGGTTGTGAAATCTCCATCTCTGGAGATATTTAAGAGTAGGTTAGATAAATGTCTATCAGGGATGGTCTAGACAGTATTTGGTCCTGCCATGCGGGCAGGGGACTGGACTCGATGACCTCTCGAGGTCCCTTCCAGTCCTAGAATCTATGAATCTATGAATCTATGAATAAGAGATCCTTTGGAACGAGACTGGAAGCCCCTTCATATGCTGGCAATTGCAATGAAGAGTTGCGTTGATTTTCGAAATGGCTTTGTTCTTTCAATGTAGAAGGCTAATGCTTGTCTGACATCCAGGGAGTGGAGCATACGTTCCCTGTTGGTAGCATGCAGCTTAGGAAAGAACATAGGAAGAAAAATGTCCTGGTTCACGTGGAATTGCGAAACTACCTTTGGGAGGAAGGCTGGGTGCAGTCGCAACTGCATCTTGTCCTTATAGAAGACCGTGTATGGCGATTCCGAGGTTAAGGCCCTAAGCTCAGACGCCCGCCTGGCTGAAGTTATAGTTACCAAGAACGCTAATTTCCAGGAAAGGTAGAGGAGGGAGGATGTTACTAAGGGCTTGAAAGGAGGTCCCATCAATCTAGAGAGCACAAGGTTAAGATCCCATGGGGGAGCTGGCTGTTTTACTTGACTGTATATTCTATCTAATCCTTTGAGGAAGCAGCCCACCATGGGGTTTGCGAAAACTCAGTGACCAGCCAAACTGAGGTGGAAAGCTGAGATAGCGGCCAAGTGCACTTTTATTGATGATACCGGCAGACCCTGCTGTTTTAGATGCAGCAAATAGTCCAGGATAAAGGGAATTGATGACTGTAAGGATGGAGTGCTTTTGTAATGCTCAAATGGCATGTTCCTTTTCCACTTGGCCAGACAGGTGGCCCTAGTGGATGGCTTCCTGCTAAGGAGGACCTCTCTAACAGGGTCTGAGCATGTGAGCTCTGAGGGGTTCAGCCATGGAGTTTCCATGCTGTGAGATGGAGAGACTGCAGATTGGGATGCTGGAGGTGGCCATGGTCCTGGGTGATCAAGTCCGGGACCAGTGGCAGGGTTATTGGCATGTGCACTGACAGGTCTAGAAGCGTGGTAAACCAATATTGGTGAGGCCACGCTGGTGCTATTAAGATCATTGATACTCCCTTCTGACTTTGAGCAGTACTTTGTGTACAAGCAGGAAGGGCGGGAAAGTGTATAGTAGATGGTCCTTCCAAGGGAGGAGAAAACTGTCTGCGAATGAGCAAGGAGCAAAGGATTCAGGAAGGAGCAAAACTGGTGACATTTCCTGTTGTTCTTTGTCACAAATAAATCTATCTGAGGAAACCCCCCATCATTGGAAGATGTTGATCACAACATCCGGGCAGAGGGACCACTCATGATCGTGAAATGACCTGCTGAGATGATCCGCCAGTTCGTTCTGGGAATCTGGAAAGTACGATGCCTCTAGATATATCGAATGGGTGATGCAGAAGTCCCACAGCTTGAGAGCTTCCTGGCACAGGGGAGAGAAGCAAGCACCACCCTGTCTGTTTAAATAGAACAGTGCTGTGGTGTTGTCAGTCAATTCCGATACACATCTGCCCTCCAGATGGGCCTGGAATGTCTGGCAAGCAAGGCAGACCACTTTTAGCTCCCTGACATTGATGTGCAACAAAAGTTCTGGCTGGGACCAGATGCCTTGAGTCTGCTTAAGTGCGACCCCAACCCATTGCAGATATGTCCATTACTAGAGACAGCGAGGGTTGGAGTCCGGAGAAGGGCAATCCCGCACACCCCACTTGTGGGTCAAGCCACCACCTGAGGAACTCTATAACTGGGGGAGTGAGTGTGATCACCTTGTCTAGGTGGTCTCGATTCGGTCTGTACACTGAGGCTAGTCAAGCCTAAAGAGGACGGAGCAGCAGTCTGGAGTGCTGCACTACATATGAACATGTGGCCCTATCTTCAAGCAGCTTCAGGCAATTTCATGCGGTAGTAGTGGGGTATCACCTAAGATCCCTTCTGATGGCGCCCACGGTGAGAAAGCGAGTCTCTGGAAGGACAGCCCTGGCTTGACCAGAATCCAGGAGAGTGCTGATAAACTCTATTCTCTGAGTTGGGTTTAGGGTCGACTTTGCCACACATTCAGTATCAGGCCAAGTCTACGAAATGTTGCCAGAACTAGGCTCACATGGGCCTCCACTTGGGCCCTGGAGCAGTCTTTGATTAGCCAGTCGTCGAGGTATGGGAATACTTGCACCTGTCGTTTTCGCAGGAAGGCTGTCATGACCGACATGCACTTCGTGAACACCTGAGGGGCTGCCGAAAGGCCAAAGGGAAGAACTGTAAACTGATAGTGAGTGTTGTTGACCACAAACTGGAGGAACTGTCTGTGGGACAGGACTATGGACACGTGAAAATGCGCATCCTTCAAGTCGAGGGCGATGTACCAGCCCCCACCCCAGATCCAGGGGGATAATAGAGGCCAGGGAGACCATGCGGAACTTTATCTTTATTAATTTGTTGAAGTTTCACAGATCTAAAATAGGTCTGAGACCACCCTTGGCCTTCGGGATTAGGAAATACCAGGAATAGAAACTCCAGCCCCTCAATTCTAGAGGGACTTCCTCTATCACCCTGAGTTGTAGGAGCGTTTGCACCTCCTGCATGAGAAGTTCCTCGTGAGAAGAGTGCCTGAAGAGGGACGGGTAAAGAGGATGGGAAGGTGGGAGGGAACAGAAATGAAGAGAATATTCCATTTTTACTGTGCTCAAGATCCATTGGTCTGAGGAGAGTTGCATCCAGGTATGGTAGAAATGGGATAGATGATTCATGAAGGGAGGGGGAGGATCCAGGATGGGAACTGGTGCATCGCCCTCGGGCGCACCTGCAAAAGTTTCGCTTTGATGCCCGAGGCTGCTTCGCTGAGGCCCTGGGCCCTGGTTAGAGGAGAATTGCGAGGGCCTCCGTTTGTTACTCCTGCCCCGCTTCCTGCTATAGTCCTGCCTAGGCAGAGCTGAGTAGAAGCGAGGAACAGGGTGTTGTTTAAAATGCTTCCTTTGTGGAGGCTGGCATATGAAGCCCAAGAGATGTCAGAGTTGCTCTTGAGTCCTTTACACTGTGGAGCTTAGTGTCTATTTTCTCCAAAAAGAGCCTTACACAGTCAAAGGGCTAGTCCTGAATGGTCTGTGGGACCTCATGCGGGAGACATGACACCTGAAGCCATGAGCTTCTTCTCATGGCTATGCCTGTCACCATGGTATGGGCTGCCGAGTCCACCGTGTCTCAGGAGGCCTCTAAGGAGGTCCTCACTACAACCTTGCCTTCCTCCAGGACAGCAGCAAACTCTGAGCAGGACTCCGCCGGAAGAAGCTCTTTAAATTTGGACAATGTATTCTGGAGTTAAAACTATAGTGGCTGAGGACTGCCTGCTGGTTGGCAACACAAAGCTGGAGCCACTCTGGTAGAGTATATCTTCCTACCAAAGAGGTCCAACTTAGCCTCCTTGGATTTAGGGGTCGGTCCCAGCTGTCCCTGTCTTTTCTTCTGATTGGTCACCTCCACTACCAAAGTGCCTGGCTGAGGGTGAGTGAACAGGTACTCATACCCTTTGGAAGACACAAAGTACTTCCTCTCCACCCCTTTTGCCGTTGGGGAAAGAGAGGCGGGCCTTTGCCACAACACTTTTGTAGTGTTATTGATGGTTTTAATGAGGGGCAAAGCCATCCTCGATGAGCCTTCGGGCACCAGGATATCAACCAGGGGGTCGGTTTCCTCCGCCACCTCCTCTATCTGCATGCCCAAATTTTGAGCCACGCTTCTGATCAACTCCTGGTGGGCTCTGTTGTCTGTGGACGATAGCGTGGTGGATGTGCCTGCCACCACTTCATCAAGGGAAGATGAGGCAGATGCCCGCAGGGGCACCGGATCTTCCTGACCGTGTAGCTCACGGAGATCCCCCTGTGCTGAAGCACCCTGTGTGGTGGTGGGAGCGGTGCTGACCTCCGGACCCGTGCCCCTCTAAGTACCGGCTCCGGGTCCCACTGCTAGCTTAGTGCCGACCTGCGCGACCATTTTTTGTCTATGTGGAGGTTTGCGGGCCATGGATGCTGATGAAAATGGAAGGGCCTGTGCCTCCGAGACCACAGACAAGGATCTGGACCTTGGGCTTGGTGGGAGGCCCATGGGGTCCAAAAAGGCCATTGAGCCGATGCCTGCCACTGCTGTGGCCATGACATCATAGGCAATGGCTGCCCTTCCTGTTGTTTGAAGCGGTGCCAAGATCGGTGCCGGCTTCGCCTGGAGGCATATGATTTCGCCTCTGAATCCGAAGAGGACTCTGAGCCCGGTGACCAAGGTGGTGTGGAGCAAGATGGTGCTGGGTGTGAGCAAGTGGTGCCACATCATCGCCAGCTTGTCCTTAGAGGGCACAGTGCCTCTCTGTGGCGGTGCTGGTGTCTGGACCATCATTGCTATGAGGTCTCTGGCAGCCTCAAAGGTGGCCAGCATGGAGGAGAGGTCTAAATCCTCATCCCGACACTACCGCACTGGACTCACATAAGTAATTTTAACTTACCTTGTCTTTTAGCTTTCTGTTAGCTGCTTTTCTTAGAATAAACTTCTATCTTTTGGCTGCTCAATATGTCAGTTATAACAACTTGATCTCCCTTATATTCAGGTTCAGTGGACAAATCCACAGGCAATTTTTAAGAAGGTGTAAGTTGCACATCAATAAGTCTGTCTGAATCTGAGGGCATATTTTTAAGTCAAAGGGAGTCCAACTGAATTAATGATCTGGAGGATGGCATGGACTGCACCCTCAGCAAGTCTGCAGATGACACTAAACTGGGAGGAGTGGTAGATATGCTGGAGGGTAGGGATAGGATGCAGAGGGACTTAGACAAATTAGAGGATTGGGCCAAAAGAAATCTGATGAGGACAAGTGCAGAGTTCTGCACATAGGACAGAAGAATCCCATGCACTGCTACAGACTAGGGACTGAATGGCTAGGCAGCAGTTCTGCAGAAAAGGACCTGGGGTTACAGTGGATGAGAAGCTGGATATGAGTCAACAGTGTGCCCTTGTTGCCAAGAAGGCTAACAGCATTTTGGGCTGTATAAGTAAGGGCATTGCCAGCAGATCGAAGGACGTGATCGTTCCCCTCTATTTGACATTGGTGAGGCCTCATCTGGAGTATTGTGTCCAGTTTTGGGCCCCACACTACAAGAAGGATGTGGAAAAATTGGAAAGAGTCCAGCGGAGGGCAACAAAAATGATTAGGGGGCTGAAGCACATGACTTATGAGGAGAGGCTGAGGGAACTGGGATTGTTTAGTCTGCAGAAAAGAAGAATGAGGTGGGGTTTGATAGCTGCTTTCAACTACCTGAAAGGGGGTTCCAAAGAGGATGGATCTAGACTGTTCTCAGTGGTAGCAGATGACAGAACAAGGAGTAATTGTCTCAAGTTGCAGTGGGAGAGGTTTAGGTTGGATATTAGGAAAAACTTTTTCACTAGGAGGGTGGTGAAGCACTGGAATTGGTTACCTAGGGAGGTGGTGAATCTCCTTCCTTAGAGGTTTTTAAGGTCAGGCTTGACAAAGCCCTGGCTGGGATGATTTAGTTGGGGATTGGTCCTGCTTTGAGCAGGGGGTTGGACTAGATGACCTCCTGAGGTCTCTTCCAACCCTGATACCCTGATATTCTATGAATCTAGGTTAGTGTAACACACTAAGGAGGCTGGAAGTAATAAGCTACATCACCTTATATTCACTTGGACTTATTTCAGAATTTGACACAATATATTTATGTAATGTATCACCCTGTGTAGTGCTTTTATATGCCCCTTATCTGAGTATTGGCTGAAATCAGAAAGCCATCACATAACTGAAATTCTAAAATGTAATATGCTATGTGATAGACCCAAGCCAGTTGGGTACAGCAGAGTAGTAGAAGGCAGATATACTGGCTACTGGATAAGCAGTTTTCTGTTTCCTGACTGATCAGCGCGGGGGCTGCTCCAGGCTAGGGTGGACACATGACTCCAATTAACCTGCAAAGAGTCAGGTGAGGCCGTTTAGCTAATGTAAACACCTGACTCTAATTATGGTCCCTCTGATACTATAAAAGGGCTCACTCTGGTCAGGCCGGGGAGAGGAAAGCGGAGCCAGAGAAGAGGAAGTGCGGCTGAAGGGCTGGGTAATGAAGACACCCTCAAGCCACTGGAAGGGAGCCTGTAAGGGGGCAGGCACTCACCCCTGCGGCGCCTCCTGTCGGTCGTCCTGGGAATTAGCTCTTCGACCCAGGAGCACCCTCTGCAGTACCCCGCAGTCTGAAAGGGGCACCGGGGTCCAAGAGGGACTCGGGACCCAGCGGGAAGCAGGACACCGGCCTGCAGAGGGCGCTTGTGGGTCGAAGAGCTAATTCCCAGGACAACCGACAGGAGGCGCCGCAGGGGTGAGTCGCCGCCCCCTTACATTAGTGGTGGAGAATGCAGGCACGGATGGTCCGCCCCGATACAAGGGGCAGGGCAAAGGACTGCGAGACTATTGCCCGAACACTGCAGCTGCAAGGAGGGATGATGGATCCTGGGTACGCTGGGGTGTTTTATGCTGAGACCCCAGGTGCCATCCCTGGCTGGGCCCCGGTGTCAGTGCCCCAGCAGAAGGGGGCTGACGACCTGCAGGGAATCCGGGAGGCCCAGGAGGGATTGTGGGAGGTGCAAGAGGCCCTCCAGGAACAGTTGGGCCAGCTGGTACAGGAACAGCGGGCCCTGGTAAACCTCCTCAGGAAGGAGTTCCAGAGTGGTGGAGACGGATGGGAGAGGCGGAGAGCCGGGACCAGGAGGCCCGCGGACGAGCGCTGGACATGTTATGCCTGTTTAAGGCAAGAACATATAAAGAGGGATTGTCCCTACTGGGGCGGGGGCTGGGCGCCTCACCCAGGAGAGAGACAGGGGCAAGTCCCGGGGACAGTCGGCCGGGTGAGGGAACCTGGGCAGCTGCCAATATGTTGGGCCTGTGGGCAGAAGGGCCACATGCGGTGGGCATGCCCAGGCCCAAGTTGGAGGGTCCAGATCCGCCCTAGTGGAAGGGTGGGACCTGAGAGGGATTGAGGAGGAGCCAAGGCAGCAAAGAGGCGGGGAGCCTGCTGGGGCTGCCATATGCCAGGACACAGTAGGAGGCACTGCCCCGTCATGGGAGTTGAGGGTCGGGCGAAGGAGGTGCCTGGAGGCTGGGAAGGGGCCGCACTGGACCCAGTAAAGGCGACGGAGGCCGAGGCGGAGAGGACGGGGACCCCAAAGGAGGTGGGGACCCAGACCGTTGCTAAGCCAGTCGCCGAGGGGGAAACCCAGACGGAGTGGGCCCAGCATGAGGCTGGGGTCCAGATGGTCC